TGCATGAGGCTATCAGGAAGCCTATAATGAGGCAATGAGGAAGCCTATAAGGAGGCTATGAGGAAGCCTATAAGGAGGCTATGAGGAAGCCTAGTAGTGTTGATGTTGAATTGGTGTTGGAATGAATTTGTATGAAATTTGACAGTTTATCCCCAGAAATTCTTGGGGGATGAGTGAAATTTTTGAAACAACCAGTGATAAAATTTCATAAATGAAATCTATAAATCTGCTATAAACTGTGCTGAGATTGATTCCCCTGTCATGGCAATATTGAAGGTGAAAGGAGGGGTCGGCGGGTGGCAAGTTTTTAGCTAAAACACTATTAGAGCCAAGATTAGTCTAATAACTGCTTAATCTGCATTTAAATAAATGGATACTCAAGGCAGCATACACAGGTTTTTAATACACAACTTCTTAATGGGATACTCCTATGTGGGAGGAGTTAAAACTGCACCCAGGTTAATGTATAAAGAACAAAGGACAAAGGAAGCCAAATGCCACAAGTGGTCACTAATTAACAAGACATGTATATTTGTATTGGAACTGATGTAATTAAACCTCCTGCTAAGAACATGTGATAAACTTCACATCTAACTGATTGAGATATGATAATAAATCTGTTTCATCTCAACAGTAAAGAAAACACACATCCTGGGAAAATCCTAAAATAATGACCACTGAGTGTAATGAAAATCAAACTATGTATAAACATTACTTATATAACATATAAGTACCTATTTATACAAAATTCTCAGAAAAGGTCCTGAATATGTTTAATTGTCATTTGTTCCATGTTTGCATTGTGTTCTGATTCTTTGTAAATATTTTTTAGGGTAAATTAATTTATGTTTGATGTGATGTTGTACTAATCTTATTTTAATTGTCTGTTGTTCATACTGTATCTTTTCTTTGGTAAGTGTTAGTCTGTTATGTAATAGGGAAATGTGTGTTAACACCTGAGTAAACATCCAACCTGATACCTTCTTGCAAATTTCTTTGACCTGACAATTAAACCATCCTGATGTAACTTTCTGCCCTATATTTCTCGACTTTTGCTAATAAATGTGTCGGTGAACAAAATCCTCAAAGTCACACATAATGAGTTCATAGTAATTTAAATAATTTAATTACCCCTGATTTCTTTCAGAACTCACCATTTGAACTCATGATATGTAAAATTAAGGATTTAGTGCTCACATCAACATTATTATCAACCTGATTTTTTTTTCCTGTCATAACCTATCTTGTAAATAAACTCCTGGGAAATATTGTGTAGCAATGCCAGTGGTATCCATGTTTGAATTAAACATAAATCATAATTGAATTAAAACTTTTATTTTATATATATACATCACTAATTTGGCCCTTGGGGAATCTACTCAGCTAAAAATTTTAATTTTTTGCTCCATGCCTAAACCAAGAGCCTAGCTATGTGCATACTGAAAAGTAGCAAAGTATAGACCCCTGGCTTGACATCACACCAATCCAATTGGAACGATGGTTCAAAATAAATGCATGAGGCTATCAGGAAGCCTATGAGGCTATCATGCCTAGAGGCTATCATGCCTATGAGGCTATGAGGAAGCCTATAATGAGGCAATGAGGAAGCCTATAAGGAGGCTATGAGGAAGCCTATAAGGAGGATATGAGGAAGCCTAGTAGTGTTGATGTTGAATTGGTGTTGGAATGAATTTGTATGAAATTTGACAGTTTATCCCCAGAAATTCTTGGGGGATGAGTGAAATTTTTGAAACAACCAGTGATAAAATTTCATAAATGAAATCTATAAATCTGCTATAAACTGTGCTGAGATTGATTCCCCTGTCATGGCAATATTGAAGGTGAAAGGAGGGGTCGGCGGGTGGCAAGTTTTTAGCTAAAACACTATTAGAGCCAAGATTAGTCTAATAACTGCTTAATCTGCATTTAAATAAATGGATACTCAAGGCAGCATACACAGGTTTTTAATACACAACTTCTTAATGGGATACTCCTATGTGGGAGGAGTTAAAACTGCACCCAGGTTAATGTATAAAGAACAAAGGACAAAGGAAGCCAAATGCCACAAGTGGTCACTAATTAACAAGACATGTATATTTGTATTGGAACTGATGTAATTAAACCTCCTGCTAAGAACATGTGATAAACTTCACATCTAACTGATTGAGATATGATAATAAATCTGTTTCATCTCAACAGTAAAGAAAACACACATCCTGGGAAAATCCTAAAATAATGACCACTGAGTGTAATGAAAATCAAACTATGTATAAACATTACTTATATAACATATAAGTACCTATTTATACAAAATTCTCAGAAAAGGTCCTGAATATGTTTAATTGTCATTTGTTCCATGTTTGCATTGTGTTCTGATTCTTTGTAAATATTTTTTAGGGTAAATTAATTTATGTTTGATGTGATGTTGTACTAATCTTATTTTAATTGTCTGTTGTTCATACTGTATCTTTTCTTTGGTAAGTGTTAGTCTGTTATGTAATAGGGAAATGTGTGTTAACACCTGAGTAAACATCCAACCTGATACCTTCTTGCAAATTTCTTTGACCTGACAATTAAACCATCCTGATGTAACTTTCTGCCCTATATTTCTCGACTTTTGCTAATAAATGTGTCGGTGAACAAAATCCTCAAAGTCACACATAATGAGTTCATAGTAATTTTAATAATTTAATTACCCCTGATTTCTTTCAGAACTCACCATTTGAACTCATGATATGTAAAATTAAGGATTTAGTGCTCACATCAACATTATTATCAACCTAATTTTTTTTCCTGTCATAACCTATCTTGTAAATAAACTCCTGGGAAATATTGTGTAGCAATGCCAGTGGTATCCATGTTTGAATTAAACATAAATCATAATTGAATTAAAACTTTTATTTTATATATATACATCACTAATTTGGCCCTTGGGGAATCTACTCAGCTAAAAATTTTAATTTTTTGCTCCATGCCTAAACCAAGAGCCTAGCTATGTGCATACTGAAAAGTAGCAAAGTATAGACCCCTGGCTTGACATCACACCAATCCAATTGGAACGATGGTTCAAAATAAATGCGTGAGGCTATCAGGAAGCCTATGAGGCTATCATGCCTAGAGGCTATCATGCCTATGAGGCTATGAGGAAGCCTATAATGAGGCAATGAGGAAGCCTATAAGGAGGCTATGAGGAAGCCTATAAGGAGGCTATGAGGAAGCCTAGTAGTGTTGATGTTGAATTGGTGTTGGAATGAATTTGTATGAAATTTGACAGTTTATCCCCAGAAATTCTTGGGGGATGAGTGAAATGTTTGAAACAACCAGTGATACAAACTTGGACAGAAGCTTGTTTATGATCAAAAGCTAGTATTAAGAAGGAAATTTTGTAAAAATTTATTTCCTGTTTTTCCGTATATTACTTATAAATGGACTTAGTTTTTCTTCCAGTTAACATTACATAGAGTCTGCAGTTGAAGTTTTTAAAACATTTATTATATTCATAAACCATTTCATTAACTTCATCAATTATGTGCATTCCCCTATCACATTGAAAACATAGACAATAGCAAAAGTAGGCTAGACACTGGGTTCCGCGGAACCCTTACGATTTTTTTTATTACATATCAACTGGGAACATTATATGTTCCCGATATCAATATGGTGATGTGTATTTTATTGTCAATTAACTCTAAATTATCAGATGCATTGTATTTCTCATAACATACCAAAGTTGAGCGATTAATCGAACGGTAATAAAATATACGTAATACATAAAGTTTTAATACACAGGCAATGAACATTGAACATATTATGTACAATCAGAGACATATAATACAATGTCTCTGGTACAATGAACATGAAACGATGTATGAATGGATGCGGGATGATAGAACCCAGAAAAAAAATTGGTTTCCACAGTTCGAAGAAATTATGAAGCGTTGTGTTATTACGGAAATGTTAGCCAATTTTAAATTCCTACCGAAAATAGGTTTCTTTTAACGTGCTGAATTTGTGGCATTTTTAACACGGCATTTCAGATTTTATCTTCCCGGTGCGTATGGACAAGCTAGTGAAATTATGGTAACGAAATTATTCTGCCTGCAGACTAAAAGGAAAGTGTTCTTTTCAGCACGGATACCCTCAGTCTTCCGAGGTAGAAGATTCTTTATCTGGAAGCCGAAAATTATTTCTATAATACGGCATGAGGCAAACATTCGTTTTCCCCATACAACAAATGCAATTAAAAAAATGAGATGACTTCAACTTTGACAATTACTTTATAATAAACTGTTATTGTATCTATGTTTAACGATTCGATAGATTGATAAAAATATCAATGAATAATCAAAATACCTTAAAAAATGTTAAAAAATGATATTATGCCAGCAACGTCGTTCTATAACGTAAAACAGAAAAGGTTATTATAGTTCCCGCCAAAATTCAATAATAAGATTATATCCGTTTTAGCGGACTTAAAACATCGGTGACCCCCCTTTTTTATTTATGCTTTTAAAATCTTCCCTGAAATTGCAACTTATGCAGAAGTTTGAAGGGAAAAACATTAGTCGATTTTTTGTATTTCATGAAAAATCTATTATAAATAGCAATTAAAAATGGCGGGAACTGTTCAAAGGCCTTCAAAAATAAGGAAACCGAGACAAATAAATGCTCATAAGGTACAAGTTACATTTGACTGTTTTTGTTATTCCGGTTAAACATCGTTTTTCAATAAGTTTGTCTTTTTTTAGAAATTTAGAGCGCTATTTCTATATTTCGTTATAACGCGATTCTGTAAGTTTTGATGACGTCATATCTCGAAAACAACATCGGTGACCCCAATTTTTTTTTCGCCTAAAATATCGTAATACGTATGATCTGTCTACATGCAAAATTTCAATGAATTATTATTAGTAGTATAAATAGTGTGATTTCCCTTTAAGTCAGTTTAGTTGATCTTAGCTGACAATCATTATAGCAATGTTTTTAACATGAAAGCTTACATTCATTGATGTCTGCATTCCTAGTAAAGTTGTGTTCATTCCCTGGAACGATCCATGCATATTCCATCCTATTCCTTGTAATGATGTATTAAGTCCATGGACTGTTGTGCTTAATTCTTGAAATGTAGAATTTAGCTCTTGAACTGTTAATGCAATCTAATAAAAATGAAGTATTTATAAGACGTTTTATAATGAAAGAGAAGTGAGTAAATTTATGAGAAAATTTATTGTAATTTGACCGTTAACCAATTAAAACATATCAGATGGATGTTTTATCAAACTATTTTGAATCTCTTATCTTATATAAAAATAAGAAGATGTGGTATGATTGCAAATGAGACAGCTCTCCACATGAGACCAAATGACACAGACATTAACAACTATAGGTCATAGTACGGCCTTCAACAATGAGCAAAGCCCATATCGCATCGTCAACTATAAAAGGCCCCAAAATGACAAATGTAAAACAATTCAAACGAGAAAACTAACGGCCTAATTTAAGTACAAAATAATGAACGAAAATCAAAATTGTTTCACAGCAACAAACGACAACCACTGAATTACAGGCTCCTGACTTAGGACAGGCACATACAGAATGTGGCGGGGTTAACTCGTTTGAAGGCGCCAACCCTCCCCCTTACCTGGGACAGTGGTGTAACAGTACAACATAAGAAAAAACTGTAAAAATCAGTTGAAAAAGGCTTAACTCATCAGATGGATACAAATAGAAATTCATCTAACAAAAACAGAGAGTGGACGTGGACAGGTATTTATATATCCACATAACAGAAAGACACTAAGTACAAATCAGAGAGTATTCGCAGTTACTGACAGCTAGTTCTAAGCCAATAACAACTAATGAAAAAAATCATGCATCTAAGACTGAAATATCAATCAGTACACATCCAACTTCCAATGGATTAAGTGTAAAGACGTCATAAACAGTCAGACTAAGACATGACCTTGTGCAATGCCAAGATACAGGTATCGACAGATTGTAGAGCCATGAATGTGCATATGTATATACAAATAATATTTAGTTTGATCTTAATTTACTGATAACAAAATCAATATTAATACCAATAAAAATAATATTCAAAGATCTAATTATAGTGTTGAATTGTTAACCTTTTAGAATAAGTTTATCTAAAGGATCGATAAGTTTACCCGGATCGTTTCCAAATTTCCGGGCTCGGTAATCAACATCTTCGTAAAAATGAGGATGTGCTATCCCGTTTGAAATAAGTTTTCCAAGTACAATCAAACCTCAAAACCAAATCTTTATATCTATGGAAGAATTTAGTAAAGGTTTTAAGTAATTTGTGGTAACGAAATCCCTGACTTAATAATTTACCAGTAATACATAGATTACGTTCATTGAAATCCAGATTACGTTCATTGAAACCCAAAACGTTACAACAGACACGGGCATAGCGAATGAGTTGTGATATTTAAACACCGTAAGATGGTGCCAAAGGCACATCGCCCTCCAAAAAAGGAAAATTAACAATAGGGAATGAAAAATCGTCCCTTTTGTCGTAAATTTTAGTGAAGAATTTCCCTTGTAAAGCTGGAATATCTAAATCTAGGAAAGGACAGTTTTTTTCCGTTTATATATGATTTATTTAAAGTAAGTTCTTTTGGGTAAATTTCGGCAGTATATTTTTATTTTACGAAAAAATATCATCAAGATAACGGTAAGTGTTGTTGAATTTATCAATAAAATGCAATTTAGACGGGTCTTTACTGAGTTTGGTCATAAACTGTGATTCATTATAGTACAAGAACAAGTCTGCTATTAAAGGGGCGTAATTGGTGCCCATAGGAATACATACAACCTGTCGATAAACTTTATTGCAAAAACGTACATAAATATTATCAAGGAAAAAAAAATGACAGCTTCAATCATCTCATCACACCTCCAATAAGTATATCTAGCATATTTACCTTTCTCATTTGAGAAGAAGGCTTTAAATGAGTTGCAGCAAATATATTTGCATTCAGATTTACCAAACGACCATTTAATTAAATAGGAAAACTTTTGTTTGATAAGATTGTGTGGAAGTGTAGTGTAGAGTAGTCAAAACTGTCAACAGAATCAAAAGGACCATCAAAAGCACGTAATTTATCTAAAACATCCAAAGAATTGTTTACACTCCAAAAATAGTTAATTCCACTATTTTAATATATTTTACTACAAAATTAAAGTTAATGATAAGTTCTTTGATAGTAAGTAGTTAAGGAACTAGTTAAAAGCACTGAAAGTTTAGTTGTAGAACACTAACTAGAGGCTGAGATGAAACAATATTTTACTGGTTTTTGTGTAGTTTAGGTGACCAATAAATAGTAGGGACCTTCAAATGTTCTGAAGAGGCCTTAAGCTGTGATGTGGTTATGATATGTTTGTTTACTGTATGACTCTCTGTGGGGCGCACAGACTTGAATGTGGAAGAATTTAAAATTTCTTTCTTAAGAACGTCTGTGTAGTATTTACGGCATACCACCACAACATTGTTGGCTGTTTTGTCGGCATAAACATAAACCGCCTTGAAAATACTTGGAGTTTGTTTCTTATTCTAGAAATAGGCGTATTATGTACTCTTTTATTTATTTCTGAATTATTTTCAAAATGTGATATTTGAATGCCCACAACATTCATATATTTATTTAAATAAGAATCAAGAGATTTTTTATCAGGGTTTTTCCGTTTACACCAATTTTTACAATACGATGAAAGAACGTCTTTTGTTACCTGACGACACTATTTCCAATCTATTTTAAATAGAGGACGATATTTTGGTCCTTTTTTCAAAAAGTTTTTAACCTCTTGGTCTTGAAGGATATTGATGTCCCCCGTAATAACATGGCCATAGGGATCATATATAAAATTCGACGATTCACAGTCTCAAGTTAGAGGAGTATTATTTTCTACATTGACGTCTGATGTTACTGAGCAGACGTATAATTAAAAAATAAACTTCTGCTGGGTTTTTTGTATGTATACGATATAATAGGTGGTTCTGTGTTATCAAAATAGGGAGGTATAAAGCTTTGAATGGTAGAGTCATTAAATATACTCGATAAGTTAATGAAATCAATACCTCTGTTAATATATTTAATTTTCAGAAAGTGCCGCTTATGATCTTCAGGTTTATTGATACGTGGGAACAGCCTATGGTGGCAAAAAGCTGCAGTTATACGCGAATATTCATAGAGTGGGCTGTAGAACGAGATTGTGTCACACTCCTGGAAGATATCATGTAATTTACTAATTGGAATTTGACCTTCTTTACATAATAATTGATGCCTACCATTGTTTTTAAATATAGATAGATCATCAAGTGTATAATTTATACGATTTTTAATTCGTTGATTTCGATTGATACGTTTGCCATGAGACCTATTATAACGTTTTCATTATCAACAATATTCATGATATCAATAGAAGAAGTTTTAGATATGTTCCCTTGTCCCAGTATATTGTCATTTGGACCCATGGGATATGCTGACGTCGTTTAATCCAAGACAGTTCGATAATTTTACGGGAATCTTCAAATTGTTTATGCGATTGCCCTTGTTGTTTCTGGATCGTTTCGAGAAGTTGGAATCTTATAAATTTAATATTGTGATTGTGTTTATCTAAATGTTGGTATATTATACTTTTGAATTTCTTAGGTTTTCGTAAGCGGTATAGATGTTCGTGTGTTGGTCTAAAAAATTCCCGTCCTGTTTGTCCTACATATTGGATACCATACTTTGGCTTTGTTCAAGTAACCAGATAAATGTGGCTTTGAGTTTACTTAATTGGAATCTTATTTTTTAATTACAATTGTAATGGATTTTAAAAAAGATGAATCTTGATGTGTTGAACTCAATTTTGTTCAAGCTTGCAAAAGAAAATGTACCGGTATTTTGTCAGTCCCTGCAAATTATTGAATTGTTCAATGCATATTTCTATTTTAAAATAGTCATGATTGATAAGAATTTTTGATTAATGCTTAATAGTTCTCTCAAAGAAAATAAACAATAACCCAACCTCAATGCTGTTCAACTCTGTAATTGATTTGAATTCCAACAGTTTCAATTCAAAAGCCAATAATGATCAATCTTACATAGACTAAACATACATCTGGCATAAAAATTGTTAACCTTATATTTTTATAACTTTTTCATACCAAAATATGACTTAGAAACATTTCTAAATAATAAAACAAGTGCATTTATATATCTTTATGTATTTCTTAATAACACAGTAATACCTGATCCAGCTGTTTGTGAACATCCAAAAGGTCAATGAAGTATTTGGTGCAAAGTGGTTCATCCATTGGTCTGTTCTTTATTCTAACAAGATCATCTTGTTTGCTTGGGTCAAGTTGTAGTACAAAAAATGTGAGATGTGGCCACAATGCATCATATTCATGTTTTGTTATGCCACATTTTGTGTTGTGGCTTAAGTAATCATTCTTGTACTGCCTGAGGGTTTGGATTGCATGTTTTTCAGGTGGCCCAAGAGTACAACAGTTGAGAAGAATAAGTCCTAACAGGGTGGTGTCAAGGTTCTCCAGTTGCACAAGCTTAGCTGTATATTTACAGTAGCAGTGATGTTGACCTGGCCCTGGGTTTTCTGTATACATAAGGTCCCACTGACAGTAGGTGACAGGAAGTGACTTATTGTTCGTACAATTATTTTGATCCGTACAGCAGCTCGTGTATCTGTGTCGTAAATGGAACAGAGTATGAACCACTTGCGGAATGTTTAAATAATCTTTAAAGCATCCAGATCCATGGTTAGTGTATTTGTTCTCCAGTTTATGTCGAAACACCGGAGTAACAACCTCCAGAATAACGGATCCAATAACAAAGAAACGTCTTCGGTCCTCTCTGTCCATGCTTCTAAAAAAACATACAATTTATATTAAAAATTTCTCAAAATACATTACTACAAATAGCTTGGTCAACTTATGAGCTTTACTTATACCATTTCTCTTTCAGATATCATTATAATGTATTTCCTTAATCTATTCATTGTTAACTTCCCATTTACAGCATATCTTACACCAATACAACAATGCCCAAACACAACATGAGTTATGGATGAAAAGTCCTTGTGTAACTTTCCTATTCATCACCAATAATTGATTTAAGAGGTTTATATGGACACTCATATCCATTTGTTTACAGATAGCATTATAAAGTATTATATAGGATTACAGGTGCTGACCCTGAATTTAAGGGGTGTGGGGATGCCTTTAATAGCCCTTAGTGGTCAAATTTTCATTTGTTTGTGCTTAATTTAGGGGGTCATGTCAGGTGCATCCTCTATAAAAAACTACTTTAATAAGAAAAGTTCATAGAACATTTTAACATGTATATAAGAAAAAAGATATGGGGTATCCATCCATGACACAAAATCAGTACAGCAAAAGAACACACAATAAGCAAAGGGAACAGCGCTTTTATTGCTGTTTTCATCTCAATGTCACAATGAGGCCTTCAACACGGAGCAAAACAAAAAATCTTACCTCACTGCAAGTTTAGGACGGCCCCTTGCATCGGCTTGAGCGGAATTCTTTGCAAAAATTAAAAGTACAACATACTATATTAGTTCTCCTTAAATTCTTAAAAGCTATGTTGATTGTAAAGCTGTTACAATTATTGACATTAAAAATTGAAATTATATTCCTATTTTGGTAATGAATTGAGAAAGGTATTTTGATTTCAGGGATTAATCAAAAATACAAAGAATGTGATGATGGGCAAACAGGAATATCAAAATTAAAAGTTAAAATGAACCTTGTGTTCATTAATATGAGGCAGGTGTAACCTATGACAGAGAATGAAGTCTGTATTATTTTCATAATACGTTTTGGTAAACATATATACCAATTTGCAGGAAATTGTATGCTTTATAACATGGCAGCCTCCGTCAACAGGGTATGCACAAGTGCAAATGTTAAAAAGTTGTATATTGATTGATGACTTCATCCTTATACTAAAAGTATTTCCAAACAGCAGTTAACAAGTTTATAAGTGTGGGTTATATCAAGCGCTGATATTAGTTAAGTTATTCTCACCTCACCTCACCGAACAAAGTCTGGAAGGGGTCCCCGGATATAAATGTGTTTTTTTATGTCCGTTGAAGAAGTTCCATGCTAAATTTAGGTCACCTTAACCTTTATGCGTATGCATGAATTTTTTTGTTAAGGTCAATTTATAAACAACTACAAATCATAGAGTAAATAAATGATCTGCTATCAGTTAATGCATCATGTGTAGTAACAAAGGTCCATTCTAAAATGCCCTTGACACTCTTTTCATAATTACAACAATTTTAATTCACTCTGCTGCTGTGAACAAGTTATCTGCACTTCTTGTCTAAAAAATATCAAATTTTGTGTAGGATCAGTTTACATTCAATTCACTGTATGCAGGAACATCATCTTAAAGAATTCTGCACTTTTTTTCCATAATTTTAAGTCGAGAAGTTTTTAAACTTTATGTCAGAATAACATATAGATGATTCTATATATATGTCTTGGTGGTGAAGTAGCAAACAGTGCAGCTGTAATGGCTTGTATTTATATTATGTCATCTACTTAATCTTAAAGGTTTTTACCTTCTGGTTCCCAGATATGATCTCCATGTTTATTATCATCGAGACACAATTTTGGAATTTTATTAGTATACATACAGCTGGATAGCGGTCAAATTAAATTCTCAGGAAGATTCAAAGCAAAAGGAGGAGTAGTACAGAATTTTAGTAGTAGCTTAAACTCATAGAAGTTCCAGGCATATAAATGTTGAAAATTATGCCGCACAGCCCTATGTTTTGCCCTTTGCAACAAATAGTGCATGTGAAATGTCTTTTCCAGGATGTATTTTTTCTACGAAACTTCATAGTAAAAATGGCACAGTTTAAGCAATAAAAAAAGTTCCTATGGGAAAAAAGTAAAATAACAAAAATACCGAACTCCAAGGAAAGTCCATCATCAAATGGCAAAATCAAAAGCTCACACATATTAAACGAATGGAAAACAACTGACATATTCCTGACTTGGTACAGGCATATCCTTATGTAGAAAATGGTGTATTAAACGAAAGTTGGAAAAAACGAGACATATGGATTGTAAACTGGCAACGGCGACGACGGCGTCAACAATTGTTAAGTTAGTTTGATAGGATCTTCTTGTGATAGATCAATGATATTTTTATCAAGTTGCATTACTATCAGTGCATATCAGTTTGACGACTATTATGAGGCCCCCTAGGACATGGTCCACATACTTTGAACTAATTAGTAATTTTCATTGTTAAGTTTTCTGCTTAAGTTAGATTGATAGGAACTACTTACAATTGGCAACAATATTTTCTATAAAGTTACATTATTGTCTGTACATCTCAGTTTGTCGACTTGTGGGCATGGTCCAGTGACTTGGTTAATAAGCAATGCTAGCTGCTGTCCGTCAGATTTTCTTTTTTTGAATTTTATGCCGACAGGCGAGACATATCTCTGTGTCAACAGTTTATTTACGAAATCTCATAGTAAAAGTGGCACAGTTTCAGCCGTAAAAAGAGTTGCTATGGGAAATTGCATTGTCTATATAAAAATTTACAGAATTATAACCTAAAAGAACTTTGGAGGTATAAATTAAGAATGGAATATCTTTTGAGTAAATGTATTCTACTGTCATTGAATGTTATATAACTGTATATGCAAAATGTGAGATGAAGTTAAGTAGAGGCTCTTGTTTATGGTTATACTGAAAGATCAATAATAAAAGTTAAATCGATTATTCTTAGTCATGTTAGTGTTAATGTTTATCTGTATTTTAACTTTCACTTTTAGGTTTGTTATACATGAATCATATTATACACATTAATGAACAGTAATCTATATTGATGTATAATATTTATAAAGAAGTTTTGATTTTGTAATCATTTTTTCTAATTACCTTTTACTTTTGTTATAAATAATGTTTTCTTTTACTTCCCAAATGTGAGGAAATGGCTGTCTATTATAATTGGAATTTCCCTTTACTATTTTTAACATATCAGATGATTCACATTAAAAGAGAGCTAACTCAATCTTTTTACTGCTACAGATTTTTTTATGGATTGCTCGTAATATTACCTACAACTTGTTTTATTTTCTTTTTGAATAAAAAGCCCATTATGAGATTACAATGTAATTGATAAGGATAATGCAATGCTTATGTATTCATACATTCTAAACACCTTTTACAAGCTAAAATTTTAATGAAAAAAACATAATATTTCTTTTCTTAGGTCTTCCTTTTCAGCACACATTTAGAAAATTAGGGTAACTATATGATTGTTATGATCTTTAGCTGAAACCACTACAACTAATGTCTCCGGTTATAAAGATATAAGATATATGAAATCTGTGGATGAGTTTACAAAAATAATTGTCCTGAATATGCATGAAATATTTCAAACTAGGCAGACAACAATCAATTTATCAATTTTTATATATATGTTGTGTACAAGTTATAATTTTGTAATTTGTACAAGCAATTTTTGTACAAATTACAATTTGTACAAAGTCAAAATACAAATTATAATTTGTACAATTTTTTTGTACAAATTATAATTTGTACAAAATGATAACTTGTACACAACATATAAATATTCTCTCATTAAAACATAATTGTACAAATTGTATTTTGACTTTGTACAAATTGTAATTTGTACAAAAATTGCTTGTAAAAATTACAATTTGTACAAAATTTGACTAAAATTCACTTATAACTTGTACAATAATTAACGGTATGGATTTTGTTATAAAAAAGCATTGATACACACTATAGAATTTTTAATCAATGATCACACAATAAACCTTATTTACAAAATACAAAAATAGTTCTGTATCATTTGTTTGAGCATGTGAGTGAATTATGGCATCGGGAATTGCACAACATCTTTTGCTTATTACATTTACATTTAGAAGTGCTGCACCCCATTTGCATTTACATGAAAGAAACCCCTGACCACCAGTTTTTGAGAGCTTTTTAACTGCTTCACGTAGCGAAAGTCGAAGCTCAGGAACCGAATAAAGATGTGTCTTTAACAGCTTTAATTTGATTTCTCGACAAATGTCATGTTAAATTTCCTATAGCTGTTCCAATGCGGTACCCAATTTCTCCAGATTCAATAATTGCACCTTATTTCGAGGATCAGTTTGGGCACGATCATACTGAGGATTTGGTATAATGAAATTTTCCCCTACAGCAAGTTCTGATAATTTCCCTTTCGTTTTCTTGGTTAGATATTCAGCTTGGATCTGTTGGCCAGACAGTGCACGCTTCCTGGCACGTATGATTGATGTTTCAACGTCAGTGTCATCCTAATTGTCACTGGGATCAATTTCTAGTATACTATCAGAATTGTCACTGGGCCAATTTTTATTATTCTATCAGAATTGTCACCGGGGCCAATTTCTATTACACTATCATAATTGTCACTGGTGCCAATTTCTATTATACTATCAGAATTGTCACTGGTGCCAATTTCTATTAAACTATCAGAATTGTCACTGGGGCCAATTTTTATTGTACTATCAGAATTAACTGGCATGCATGTATCAATTACATTTCCTTTGGGTATTTTTGTATTTTGTAAATAAGGTTTATTGTGTGGTCATTGATTAAAATTTCGATAGTGTGTATCAATGCTTTTTTTATACTATAAATTATTGTACAAGTTATAAGTGAATTTTAGTCAAATTTTGTACAAATTGTACAAAGTTAAAATACAAATTATAATTTGTACAATGTTTTTGTACAAACTATAATTTGTACAAAATGATAACTTGTACATAACATATAGGTGATGTCATTAACTTATAATCTTTGATATGAAATGTCTTTAATGTTTCTGGTCATAATTGTCACGATGCGTTGCTTGGGAAATAGAAATACAGGGCGTCGTCCGTCAGCCGGTCCGTCTGTCCGTCTTGTCTTGTTAGTGCTCTCACGTGTACAATTGTTGCCAGATTTTTATAAAACTTATATCATAGGTTTATATCAGAATTGTATCGGACAAGTTCGAAAATCAGTGCTGATCAACAATTTTCCTTGATCCTTGGAAATAATAACTATATGGAAGATTGCATTTTTAGCGCTCTCATGTGTACATTTCATGCGAGATTTTTATGAAACATATATCATAGGATGATATCAGCTTTGTCTTGGACAATTTCGAAAATCAGTGCCGATCAAATATTTTTAAAAAAGTTATGCCCTTTTAAAATATTAATTATATCGGAAATGGCATTGCATTTGCTCTAAAGCCTTCATTTCTCTGATAAAGGTATTTATTTTGCTTTCCATGATAAATAAAGTCCGAACTTTACAATTTATATTTATTTGTAGCTACTTCAGGCAAAAACTTAAGAATTAAAACTTACGCCATATAAAATAATTGCAACAAGCAGCAAACATGTTGTGAATTATACAATTATACCCCACTCTAAAAGTTGGGGCTATATTGCAATGTTCTTCCATTCGTCAAACAAATATGCTTGTCACATTTTCTTAGGAACAACTTAACAGAACAATTTTTGTCAGCCACTTGACCATAATAATTCCTAATGGGTGTGCACTTTTTGGACCAGTCAGACACCTGCTGCCTGTTATTGGATACTTTAAATATTGAACGAATTTAAATGCTGTGTCACTCATTTCTCAAGTACTACCAAACATTATGACTTTTTATCAGTTCATCAGTCAGGTATGTGTTGTAATGTGTGAGTGAGCCTTTGGACCTGTGGAAAATCTACTTCCTGTTTTCCGATATTTTTGATTTTTATACACCCGTTTATGAGACGTAAAAATATTATGGTATATCGTTGTTCGTCCGTACGTCCGTCCGTTTTGGAGTATTCAGACTGTATCCAGAAAAAAGGGGGGATTTTCCGGTTTGAAGACAATAACTCAAAAAGGTTTACGGGCGTTTCATGCGCTCATGGCGCAGCTCTTTATTCAACATGTTGACTGAAAAAAAATATATTCGTCACACTTTTCTTAAAAACTGCTAAACAGAATGATTTCATATTTGATCAGCAGCTTGACAGCAATGACTTGTAATGTATGAGCTTTCTTTAGTTCTTTAAGATACTTTCCTTCTGTTTTCCGATACTTTGGATTAAGAATAGAGGATATACTTAACATGACCATACGTGCAATTCCTGTTTGGAAGGTGAAGTTTCTGCAGTTATTGTGTAATTCAGCAGTACTATTTTTTCTTTGTTTAATGGGAACATTCTGGTAATATTAATTTACAAATTTAAAACACTGAACAAACGGTCAAGGACCAAAAACTGCTATGCAGTATGGTGATCTTTTTGTCTGTTCATATATTGGAAAGATTGGGATTAGCAGGGGAAATGTAGTATAACCTCTGAAAAAATATGCAGATATTCTCTCATTACTTAAAAAAATCTTCCTAAAGAGTTAGCAAAAAAGGATTATTTGAACAAGCACAGAGCAACTCAAACAGTACCGTAATGAATTACAGAAGGATCAGCAGTTTTGCTCGTGACAAGCAAAATATCAATTGACAAAATGATGTCACAAAGGAAGATGGGATTATGACAAATGGAAAATATCTGTTGCCATTTATATAACACAGATATTCCAGTATGTTCGACCAAATCCTGATTGCATATGTAAAAATTTAACAAAGATTACTTCTGAATCAGTTATAATGAGTAGATTTGCACATTAAGATTTAAAATTTAAAACAAATAAGACCCGTTATAAAAGTATACATTTTATTATACAAGTTTTGTTCAGATGATTGAAGAATACCTACCTTTAGCAGAACTATTAGCAACAGATGGGACTATACATAATTTTCTAAAGGAGCATGCTCCAATGGAAGGAGCAGCCTATGGTACCTCACCAGAGGTCATTGACAACTATATTAAAAGTTGTGATAGGGATTAATTATGTTCTGTTGACACTCTTTATTTGAAGTTTTTTTTTAGGTATTTCTGTGTATTGGAAGAACTTTGGTCTTAAAAGAGACAAAATAATCATGGATTAAACTAATAAATATGATAAAGGTCCTGAGGTTACAAATTCTTTTAAATAAAGAAACATAGATTTTGACTAACCAATAGATCACTGTTACCTAATTTCAGTCTTACTGATACATTTATGTTTATCATTTTAATCAGAACACTGAAAACCGCGAAGAAATTTTTAGTGAGGGGCTTATATTTTGCTCATGTTGCAATAACAATAAAAATTTTCACCCATCTGTAAAATTGATCTATAAGGAAGATTATATGAAGTAGCAAGAGAAACAAGAAAATAAATCTCTCTTAAAGGTTTGCTCCTATAATACGTGAAATTAAACTTTGCAAAAATAAACCGCTTAACAGCATTACTTTGTTTACATTCATTTATATATATTTTAACTACCTGTACTTATCATGCTTACTGGATTTTATACAATATAGTGGACACATCATGCATATTAGCTTTCTTAATACTTACACCAATATAATGTAATTAGATATCCTGCATTTGTCGTGATTTACCATAAAATAAGATCAAACTACTGAAAGACCCCTTCCTAAATTATTGAAATCTATACTTTTGCATTAACAATGATACATACATATTATAATTTCACATACTGGTACCTATATATTCATATAGATTAATAAAATGTTGAATAGCACACAATCTACTATTTTGTTATGAGAAACAAAAATTAGAACTCGGGGATTCCTTATTTCTAGTTGATCTGAGAAACTTTAGATCTAGCAGTTTATATGCTAGTAGCTATATACTGTATTATAACCATACTGTTCAGTTCACAAATATTGAAAAAGAATATTAAAAACTCAGTGCAAGATCCATAATATATTATATCCATAACAGCTATTCCCAAGAGTGCTATAATCAAAATCTTTGTTGGAAACCATAGTATATCAACAGCAATAGTGGAACAGAATATCTGTATCTATCTCAACAAGGCACAGGTTTGAAA